ATTTAATGCATACCATGTCAATATTAGAGATATCTATTTAATATGTGAAGTCAAGATAGAGGAGAATAGATGAGGGAGTGGGGAGAGATTTGTTCGGGATAAGGACGGGTTCCTAATTTTACCCCACCTCGTAAGCATCTCGGGTCAACGACATTTTTAAAAAACACCAAACTTGGCAAGTTGAGAAAAGAAAGAGGTGGTTTTTTATTGATGGGGTCAGAGTGGACATATAAAAAAACACTTTGAGCTTCCTTCTTTTGGGTCTTTTTCCCCTTTCTTCACTCCAATCCACATCTCTTTTCTTCGACAAACAGCACAAACAGTGCCCAGTGGGAGCCGTTGAACTTCCTCCTTTTCATGTTCCAAACACTCCGCCCCCTAAACCAAACCTAAAACCTACCAACCAATAACATAAAAAGTCAATACACCTCTTTAATTTTCTCCCATTCAAGATTATGTCGGTACAATTGATTAACCAAAACACGAGAGATATTCGCTCAAAAGATTACTAGGATATTAATGAATAAAAGAAGGGTCGTAAACAAATGAACTTGTACGACCGTTCACAAATGCCACTAAACAAGTAAAGGGCAACAAACAGTTCTCGTGCATCACGAACATTAGAACAGCAAGACAAGAAGGACGAAGACAGAATATAAAACATACTTCCAATAATTAAAACAACGTATTTTTTTTATGTTCCACTCATTTTGCATTTGGCCGAATTTGGTTAGGTGTTTGGTTCCCACCTATTTTGTTGGTCAATTCTACTATTAAACTCTCTCTGACAATTTTGGCCTTAATTTATTTTAATTTTTTAAATTTGGTTGGTTAATAAGTTATGTAATACAAAATTGAAAAATTTAGAAATGGAATAAATAATAATAATAATAAAAAGACAAGGTGGTTCTCCTGCTCTGCCACCGAATCTATGTATAATTATGGGATGCATGCTTTATTTCCACATGCACTCGACACTATCATTTCTACTCCCTAAAAGGTTTGGAAAGGACGACTTGGAAAATGGTTTTGGTTCATCTTCAACTTTGGTCTCCTACTTTACTTCAATTTTAATCATTTAAACTTATTTCTATAATATACATATAAATTTCACGTTAATAAAACATTCACAACTCATAATACATCACTAATATCAGTTACAAACTTATTAACAATTTCATTGAAGATGAGTTTTTTGAGTTAGCTTACCTTCGCAGGATCACGACCCTTTGTCCCGACTATTGTAGCACGTGTGTCGCCTAGGGCGTAAGGGGCATGATGACTTGACATCATCCTCTACTCTAGGTTCCAACCTCAACAATTGGCAACGAGGGTTGGGCTCATTGCAAGACTTAACCCAACATTTTACAGCACAAGCTGACGACGATCATGCACTACCTGTGTCTGCGTTCTCAAAGGCACCCCTTTTTCAAGAGGAAATATTTATAATTTTCACAAGGGTTGAATTATGAATTTATTTTCAGGTTGGTCGGGAAAAAACTTAAACTTTTCAATTTTTAAAAAAATTTAACTCAATCTAAACCGTGAAAAAAATCTAACCCAATCCAATATTTATGATTTGAACTTCATAGTCTGAATTAGTCGAATTATTATAATATGGTAAAAAAAAATATAAAAAAAAAAAAAAAAAAAGTGACCGGCGTGTGTAAGGCAATGGAAATGGACCACGCACCTAACCAATAAAGCAGACAATTTTTATACGCGCCCTGCCAGCGCGGCACCAGAAAACGACACTGACGTGTCTTGTTGCCACTGTGTCTTTGTCACGCACGCCACAAACATGACGGTCGTCTATGCTTGTAATATGCAGGAATATTGGGGATTTTTGTATATTAATAAAACATTATGGTCTTAAAATGTCATTGTCTTCCTCAAGTGCGTATATTTATATAAATATTTAAATGTTCAATTTTTAACTTTTTAGTTAAAAATATATATTTTAATAATTAAGTGGATTTTTATTTTATTTTTAAAGTAAAATTCAACTTATTCTTAATATGTCTGTAATTTTAATTTTATGTATAAATATATTTTTAATAACATTTGACCTATTTTATCACTTTTTTAATTTTTTATTTTAAAAATTATTTAATGATTATTAAAAATCTTGTTAGAGTTAATAGACTGTTTTACAATGATTTGAAACGTTCACATAGATAAATTTAATTATTTTAATTGAGTTATTAAAATTCTAAATAAATTAGACTAAATTACTAAATAAATTAAGTTTTATTTGAAATCTATTTGATTTTCTTTAATTTGGATGGTTTTCTCTCAATTTGTTTATAATGATTTTTTATTTTATTAAGGAAACGTTTGAATTATTAATCAAATTAAAAAAAAACAAATTTTAAGAATTATATATATATTTCAAATTTGGCTTATTTATTTTAAAAATATAGATAAAAATATTAAAATAGTGAAACTCTAGCTGATTTAAAAAAAAAACTAAAAATCAAATAACCCTATTTTATAAACTTTAAAATAAAAAACACACAAAATAGAGCTATTTAAAGAATTTTATGTGAATTGTGGAACTTTTCAAGTACAATAGATTCAAGCAAACTCTTAAATAACTCTATAAATAGGATTTAAGCATTAAAGAACTACATTTTCCATTTTGATTCTCATACTTATAAATCTAAATATAAATATATTCTTCTATCATTTATCTTCGGTATATATATATATATATTAATAAATTAGTCGAATAAGACATGAATTAATAAGATTCTGACATAAAAGTAATATTTAAGACAAAACATATTACTAGATAAAAACAGGTCAAGCTTATAAAGTTCTTAATTATAACAATTAACAAGGCACAGTGTATTATGTACGTTTTTTTTTTGTTAAGTTAATTAATTAATTGCGTTTAATCAAGTTTTTTTTGAAGTTTATTATCAACCAAAAATTGATTAATTAATTGCATTTTTATTTTTTTTAAGGAAATTATTTATTTATGATTTTTAAAACTTATATGTAATAAATGCGACATTGAGACTTAGCATTAATTAAATATGCAAATGGATTACTAATTTTAGACCAACATTGCATTAAAATCAAAGGAAGTTTGTTAATTATTGGGTTAATTAAAGAAATACTCATTATATAGATATATATATATATATATTAAAAAGAAGTTTTTTTTAATAATTAAACAAATATTTGTAAAAAATCAGTCAATTGATTAAAGTGATTAAAAAAAATTAAAATTTAATATTTTAACCAATTTAAAAATATGCTTATATTTTCTAAGATAATTAAATTATAATTATGCATATTTTTATTTACAGCGATTAAAATTTAAAAAATAATGTTATTGTATTTTTCTAACTGTTTATCTATATTAATCAATAAAATGAAATAAAAAATAAATTAAAAATTTCTTTTATAATTTTAAAATTCAATCAATTAAAAAAATAAATAAAATTGTAAAGGAAAAAGAGGGTGGGGTATGGCACGTGAGAGGCGCGTGGGGTTTGACCGTTCAATCACAAAAAGCTCATGTCCACCGAAGATTCAATGCCCATCAATGTAGAGTAACTATTACGTCATTCCCTCATTCCCGCCCTTCACCCCATTTAAAACCCATTTTAATTTTATTAAAATTAAACTTTAAAACTGGTACCGTATATTTATAAATTAAATTCCACCTAGGACAAATGTCAGTTTTTAATCTTACTTTTTACTGTCACTGACCCAATATAGAAGTACCAAAATTTATCTTTTTCTTTGAAATAAATAAAATACTAATTACTCATTCATTCTCACATTTATTTGCATTTAAAATATTTAAGAGAGATGTTTTTTTTTCTTTATAATTTATTAAATTTGGGAATATAAAACTTGCGGTTATATTATATGCTTTTGAATATAAATTTAGTTTTATAGTTTTTATTCCCAAAATATTAAAATAATAATAATAATAATAACCATTTTTACTCAAAAACTTATTAAATTACCCTTTTTACTTTATTGTTTTTGTTTTTATTGCCTTTTTACCATTTTTAAGTTTATAATAAATACATATTAGTTTTAAAACCCTAATACATTTATCGAATTTAATTAAAAAATAATTAATAAAAATAAAAATTAATTGGGATGGTAATCGAAAATATTCACCAGAATAGGATAGTAAAAACATTGACGTGTACATTGTTATTAATAAAATAGAAATTTCTCGTAATTTTTTTTTTATTTTACCTTATAAATAATAAACAATGCACTTGATTATAAATTATAATTATAATATAGAAAGAAAAATAACCATACTTTAAAAAATACATAACAAAATGGAAGAATATAATTAATTATTTTAAATTCCAAAAACAATACAATTTATAAATAAGAAAAACATTATCCAAAAATCTAAACTAGTAAAAAAAAAAAAATAATAACAAAAATAGTATTTCCATTAATCTAGTTTTTTTTTCCATTTTCAAACCATTTTATTTAACTTTACAAAATGGAAACATTTTTCAAAAAGAAGAAAATCAGACAAAATATAATTAATTTCTATCGATCTTAAAATATGTTACGGTTAACAATGCAATATTAATATAGAATCTTAGTCAATTTGGCCTTAGAGCCTAAAAAAAACCCTTTAAGATTAAGTTTTAATTCCATCGGTGATAAAATGATATGAAAATTATATACTTTTCTTCAACCACAAATAATCATAGTAGCTTTAGAAACATTAGAAAAACACAGAAAATCTGAATCCACTCAATGGCAGTGGAAAGAGATTGAAGGACTAAAAGAAAAAAAATAAAAGGGTTGAGGCAAGAAAATCAAGACCCAAAAAGCAAATCATATTCAGCGTTACTTTTTTTTTTTTAATAAATAGTTTTGTATTATGTAAAAGAAAAAGAGAAAAGAAAAAAAAAACGAAAATTTTACTGTGAAAAGGTAGAGAGGGGGCACATGTTTTTGTATTAACACATCGACAGCTGTGAAGAGGTGAGTGTGGGAGATTGTGGTGGGACTTTGTTGTAGGGTCCGGGTTATCCCCACGAGAAAATCTACTATCCCGCCTTCCCGCTCCTTTGAATCTCATCTGGGAGACCCCATTTTTTCTAAGTAGAAAGAAAACTAGGTTTAAGAGAGGGGGAAACTTCAGAGAAAGGGAAGTCAGAAGAATGGAAGTGGTTAGCTAGCTTGCTTTGATTGCGAGTGTTGTGTGTTTTTTCTTCTTCTTTTGAGTGGTCTCTTTGAGGTATGCTGGTGGAGGAATCCATTTAGCTCGCCGACATGGATACTCCGGAGAGGAAACAGATCGCCACTACTTCTGTCTCTAAATTTGAGGTGCTGCTGCTTTGCATTTCAGATGGGGCTGACCCTTTTGCTGTTTGATTGTTTTTTTCTTTACTTTGGGAGTTTTTGTTATCTGGGTTGGGATTGGTTTGCTGTTCTTGTGCATGTTCTTTGATTTTGGCTTCGTTGACTTCTGGACCCTTAATTGGCCGATCCCATTTATGCTCTTGTGGATGTGTTGGCTGCATGGTCTGGATTTGTCTTGTGAATTCCTTGATCTGTTGTCTTTGTGGGTTTTGGTTGGTTTTTACTCAAACTAGTGTTTTCTACGTCTTTAATTCGATGAATTTGACGTTTGTTCGTGGTCTGATGGTTTTGGGAGGACTGGCTTCCTTGAGCTTCGTGTATTTGAGCCCCAGATCTCCAATTTGGGCAATATTTGCTTTCATATTGGCCATGGTTTAGTTGCTGTGCTAGAGTTCTTTGTTACTGTTACTTTGAAATTTGGTGTGTTTAACTTAGTTGTGCTGCACCAAGCTTTGGAGCAGATCTGTATCTTGTTTCTGGCCTGTGGCTTCACGTGTAGAAACAATGTTTTCTGACGTTTGAGGCTCTTTGGAGACTTTCTTTTTAGTTCAACAATGTATGGGGTGGGGATATGAACCTCTAACCTCTTGGTCTCGGTTGAACTATGCTCACATTGGTGGCTCTTTGGTGACTTCGAGCCGTGGTTTGGTGTTCTTTTTTCTTGTGTGTGTGTGTTTGGGGAAGGGTGTTTATGCATTAATTCTTGTAAATGCTTCATTTTTTCATGTCTTTACTGGGTTATTGCTGGTGCAGGATTCCCCTGTCTTCAATTACATCAACAATCTATCACCGATCCAACCCGTAAAGTCTATACATACTACGCAGACATTCAACTCTCTTAGTTTTGCCTCCCTTCCGTCGGTTTTTACTTCACCACACGTTAGTTCATACAAGGAATCTAGATTCTTAAGAAGGTACTATACAGGCCTCTTTTAAGATGCCTTTTTTTCAAATTACTTGCGAGGATATGTAAATGTAGCTACTTTTTCTCATTATATAATTGAAGTTTTATTTGTCATTAGGCACAGTGTTGCAGATCTATCGAAACCGGACTTCGCTTCTGAAAATGGGAATAAAGTTGACACCAATGGAGGTGTTACTGGGAGTGTGTCTCAATTACAGGGGAACTCTAGTGCACCAGATGGTAACTCTGATTCAACCGAGCTTCCTTCTGTGCACTCATTGTCTACTAAAGAGGAGCCACAAGCTATGAAGAGTGATTCGGCTCGTCCAGACTGTGACCAAAAGCTACCAGATAGTGTTACAGAATCAGGTGAAGATCCAGCTTTAATTGAACCCTATGTTCACAACAAATCAGGAAATGGATCAGCTGAAGCTGAAGCGAATAAGCAAGTCGTAAGCCTCACTGAAGAAAGAGAGGCGACCGGTTATGATTGGGAAAGCTTAATTACTGAAGGCTCTGATCTTTTGATATTCAGCTCCCCCAACGGTTCAGAGGCTATCAGACTAGTTCAGAAACCATTAGACCTTGTGACAGGGTTTACTTCAAGTACCTTGTCTCAAATCATGGAAAACGACAATACCAATCTGTCGAAAATGAGAATTGCTGATCCAATAGAATCTAGTGGTGGACAGCAGGAAATTGAGTTTTTGTCATCTCAAGCTGGAGAGGCTCATGAGCTAAAAGATATGGACCGAGCAATAGATAGCCTTTCTTTTCCAAACTCAAGTAACTCTATGAGTAGGGAAATAACAGATGATGAGGTGGCTAGATATATTACCGATGATTGTAAGGTATCGATGCTTAATTGTCTCCCTATGAACTTTTTATGCAAATGCTACCGTTCGACTTTTTGCATCTTGCATGTCAGAACTACAAAGGAAATAATGGGCAATGTAATTGAGAAGGATAACATTTTGTTCAAAAATGTAACTTATCAATGTTTTTATTACACCAATTTTTAAGTCAGAATGTTATGAACACGTCTAATTTAAATTCATCTGGTTACGTTTTGTGTAATGTTTCATATAGAGCCTGTTTCACCATACATTGTGATCCCTTTTGTTTTAGCTAATATATAATGTAGCTTGTTTTGATTATTTAATAATACTAGTTGGGGTTTGTTTGTTTGCTTACAGCCAGTGTCTAATTTGTATCGGGGTATGCGGAGGCGCTGTCTGGACTTCGAGGCAGCAGTCAGTCGAAGAAAAAACTTAGAAGATGGTTCAACTAGTGGTTCTGTGTCGACACATCCAGAAGAGAAGATGCCATCCGTCGATAAACAGCTAGTCCCTTATAAATCCGGTGGTGTTGCAACTCGATGCATTTTAACTGGAATAGGTTTACACTTAAATGCTTTGGCAACAGCGTCAAAGGATGCCAAAACTCTCAATCAAGAGAAGTTTTCGTCCGAGAGGCAGCTGAATTTGCCAAATTCGAGTGCTTCATGTCACTCTCCCTCAACTGGCCTGGATCCTCGCTTAACTTCGGTCGTTACCGAAAGGGATATGGACCCTTCAGAGAATGGGGTTCATAACGAGGAAGATGCTGTGAGGGCATCCGCTTATGTGCTTGCGGAGGACTTCAATCAAAATAGTCCCAAAAAGAAGAGGCAAGTAAACTTCTCTGAATGAAATGGCCAATGCGTCACAGTATATAACTTCGATGTTTAGCTGCATCGCCTTGTTATCTAAAACTTTGTCAAATGGTTTTGCAGGCGTCGGTTGGAACATGCTGGAGAAACTGAGTCGTCGTGCAAACGCTGTAATTGTAAAAAGTCGAAGTGTTTAAAACTGTGAGTTCCAACTCCCAACAGTTTGACTGAATCAGTTGGCTTCGTAATTAGTATTTGACCTTTTGTACTCTTTGTGCAGTTACTGTGAATGCTTTGCTGCGGGTGTTTACTGTATCGAGCCATGCTCGTGTCAAGATTGCTTTAACAAACCTATACATGAAGATACCGTTCTTGCAACTCGCAAACAGATTGAATCTCGCAATCCACTTGCATTTGCTCCCAAAGTGATCAGGAACTCGGACTCTCTTCCTGAGCCAGGGGTATGGAATCTCTGTCTAGATTTTTCTCTGTAGTGTCCGACTACGAGCTGATAACTTGAGAAATTTGTTTCGTTCAGGATGAATCTAACAAAACCCCGGCGTCTGCACGGCATAAAAGAGGATGCAATTGCAAGAAGTCAAGTTGCCTCAAGAAATACTGTGAATGCTATCAGGTTTTCCCCCTTGGAAAATCATGTGTTTATTAGTTTTGTTCTTCTTTTCCATCCGTGGGATCTTATTTAAACCGTTCGTCTTTATAACAGGGCGGTGTTGGATGCTCCATCAGTTGCAGATGTGAGGGGTGTAAAAATGCATTTGGAAGAAAGGACGGTGAGTTTTACGAGCGATTTCACAGCATTGGTTCCGTGGTCTCTTGATTGTTCATCTGTTCCTTTCACTATTTTCCTTCATAGTAAATTTGTTTTTGTTTCAGGGTCTTCTTTATTAGGATTAGAAACTGAACAAGAAGAAGAAGAACCAGAAACAAACCAAGCGAGTGCGATGGACGACAAAGCTTTGCACGGCCCTGAAATTCCGAATAATGAAGAACAGAACCCAGGTTCTGCAATTCCCTCAACACCATTACAGCACTGCAGGTGGATCTCTGAAAATTTCATCTTAAACATTAATGTTTATATTCATTGTTGTTGGGATATTGACAATCTACATCAACAGGCAATTGGTTCCTCTACCCTTCTCCTCAAGGAGCAAACCGCTGCGTTCTTCATTTCTCAACGTCGGATCCTCGTCTGGATTTTACACTGGCAACAAGCTCGAAAAGCCGAACATTCTCCAATCTCAACCAGATCCAGGGAAAAATACTCTTCCTGGTATGGAAGATGAAATGCCCGATATTCTTTGTGGCAATTGCTCTCCTGGTGCAGGCGTGAAGACTGGCTCCCCCAACAGTAAGAGGATATCTCCTCCTCAGAGCGACTTCGGGTTATCGCCATTACCACGAACGGGCCGGAAGTTGATATTGCAGTCGATTCCTTCTTTCCCTTCTCTCACCCCTCAACACTGAACATGGTGAGTCTTCCGAGCAAAGTCTGCTTCAATTTGTCAATTAGTTGAAAAGTATGTTGCTCAGTAGTGCTCTGTATAATAAAAGTAGTGTCCGTACGCCCAATACCTCCAACTTATCATGTAAAATATTAGTTTCCCTAAGCTTGTACCTGTAGAAATGATGGTTGGACTGTTGATTTATATAGATCCTTCATTAGTTTGCTTCTTTGCAACCTCTCTTCTCTTCATAGTTGATGACAGCCATGTCTTAGAAACCAAAGGCCTACCCCCTTGCTCCTTAGCCCATTGGCCCAACCCATATGAATCAGGCACATGGGTGAGAGATAGGCCATTGTCCTTTTGTATGCTAGAACTGTAGAGAGGAACAAACAGGTGTAGGATTTTCACTTGTTTGAAGAAACAACAAATTTACAGCACAAGTTTTAACTTTTTACAGCACTGTTTTTCTGAATTCAACTCGTAGCCAGCCACACAGCTGGCTACTTCACTAGAAAACAAGAACAAAATCTGAAAGTTTATCTCTTGGTTGGGATCCAAAAGATTCACATGCCCCTCTTATTTCCACTTTTCTTCTTAGATATACTTTTAAGGCCAACTTAATCATGGAGGTTGGTTGATGTGTATTGGGTTTTGCTTTTTATATTATAAGGACATTCGTGCCGACACTCCACAAAACTTCAACATATTCAAACCATTGTCCACACAAACACAATCTCTTTGGTCTTAATGTTCTTTGTGGCTGTTTTTCTTCATATGTTGGAATTTAGAACAGTGAACCTTCAGAATGCATTCGAACTTTGTTGTTCTTTCTTGGTTTGTGCTGTTGTCGATGTATTGAATCGTTTCTTTCCTTTGTTTCTAATTTCTGGGTGTTTGGGTTGGTTTGGTTTGGTTTGGTTTGTGCGTATCTCGACTACTTTCACGAGACATCGGCCAAACCGAACCCTACAAAATGGTTTGATGAAGAATTTCAGAGGGAAATCACATCAAGAGGGTGAAGGGTTTTTATTAGCTGTTGTACTGTTTCTGAAAGCATAATGTAGCTTTTTTGGTGAGGAGGAAAAATCCAACAGTGGGTCGACAAGATTGAGCTGAACCAATTAGAAAGGACTGTCTTTTGTTCCTTTCAAACAATGCTTGGACAATCTCCATTGATGGTGTTTGAGTTTTGATTGATGCAGAAAGTGCTCCAAATCTCCATTGTTGGAAGGTTTACAACATCTCCTGCATATTTAACTTCTTCATTAGAACTTGTATAATGTTGAGGATCGTTAGAAGATGAGTCCCACATTGGCTAATTAGGGAGTTGATGATGGGTTTATAAGTAAGAAATGCATCTTTATTGTAAGAAAACCACGAAAGCTTATGCTCAAAGTGGACAATATCATACTATTGTGGAGGTCCGTGATTCCTTCTTTTCTTTGTCTCAAAACTCGAGCAATTTTGTTTGAGAAGAGAGAGATTCTCTTGATGTTCTAAAAACCTCCCGTCTTTGAAACTAATGAAAAAAAAAAACTTCGAATTTTGGTCGAATATGAAACCCATTAGTTTGATAAACTTTGAAATAAAAAATAATTTAAGATAATAATTCAAAGTAAAAAATAAAATTGGAGGGACACCAATTATTTATAATATTAATAAGTATGAACAACCCATTTGCCATCTGACAGGTGGACCATGAGTCATATACAATGAGTTAACAATCCTACGTCAGCATCCATGTGGACATCATTAAATGGACGGTTTTGATCATTGACAAGTTGTCCAATGAGTCAACATTTTTACTTGGACCCAAATAATCAGAAAATATCAAATTTAGAAAATTAAATTATTTATTTATTTATTTATTTTATTTTATCATTACTCATGATTCCGGACTTTATGTTAAAAGGAAAAAAAGTGTAAAAATGTTTAATACTTTTTGAAACGAAAAATAGATGCAAACAAAATTTAAATATTTATATTTGGAATAAAAATAGAAAAGCTCCCATTTCCCCCTTTTTATTTCAATGATAATAATAATAATAATTTTATCTCCCTTCCTTAATATTTTAAAAGCTTTATTTCTGTACCACATGTTTTTTTAAAGAAAAATGATTTGAACCCTACCGACGATGTCATTAAAGTTACGACAGACCGGTAATATTTTTTAGAACATTATTGGTTAAACTTTTAAAAATTCATGGATTTATGTGACACCCTTTAAAGTTCGTGAGCATATTAGATACTTTTAGAAGTTTCAGGTACCAAATAGACACAAACTTGAAAGTTTAAGGAACTAAACGTGCAATTTTCATATTCGATCTATGAATCTAAGAGTACTCAAATCACTCGACATTTCAACTATCTTATCAATATTGCATTAATGAGTATCATAGAAAAAAATTTAAACGTTTAACGTATATTCGATTACCATAACCGTGGCATGGTTGAAACTTGGAAGTGGACCAAGGCAGACAAAATTAACCCACAATTTGAGACACCAATAATGGAGGGGTAGGCCATAAGAGAAAACCAAGACGAAACGCACCAAAAATTCAAACAATGTGTTGGCAATCGTGGGGGACTTTTTTTTATTTATTATTTTTCTCTCCATTTTTCTTGCAATTGCTTAATGTTTATTTAATGTAAGCTTACAAAGCACCGACAGATTCCCTTTGCTATTTTGGTGTTTCTCTTAACCAATCCACATTAATATTAAACTTTGCTAAATCTAAAATAATCCGATCATGAATACGAGTGTTTGTTCGTCGGTTGGGTTAAGTCGAGTTGAGACACTGTTCAGATCCGACCCAATTATTTCAACTTTAAATTTTTTCGACCCAATTCAAGCAAACCATGGATTAATTCAAATTTTTATTTTTAATAAAAATATAAGGTTAATTAAATTAGAATATATATTTTAAAAAATTAATAATAATAAAATAATCATGAAGTTAAATAAATATATGTATTGTAATATATTTTTTAAAATTAATAATAAATTAGAATTTGTTTGGTTCAGCTTACTCTAGTTTTAGGAAACCAATGAACCAATCCAATTTATAAAAGTTTCGTTTTCAACCGAGTCCAACTCAAATAAGTTTATAACCCAACTCAAATCATATTGATTGGGATGAGAGTTGGGTTGATTGAATTTTTCGGATTATCAAATTTTATGAACACTCGCTCTTATTGTCGAGTTAATTCTTCTAAAAAAATACTGATCTTGTTGTTAACAAATTATGACATCTAGAACTAATTTTACTTTTCGAGTGACGGTTAATTTAAGCATAATTTAATAAATAAAAGATCAATTATCACGATCATTTCCTAAAAAAAAAAAAAACTTTTAACTAATTGTTGGGAGTCGGTAAATGGGGGAAGTTGGGCAATGGGACCGAAGCTAAAAACCATTATTGGTTACCTATATTTGATAATTCATAAGATCTATGATTAATAATGCAACAAAATTTTAAAATAATAGTCACATTTAATTTTGGATTAAGACTATAGTGTCTTATTTTCCCACATGATCATAATAAAAAGTGGGTTGAAAACGTTATAATTAAATTATAATTTATAATAGCGTGTGGATGAAGACAATTATTTATAAATAAATGCATCCGACTTAATAACATGGTGAACCACAACCAAAACATGAAACGTCAATAAATACGTAAGATATTTGATAGAAAAATTATTAGGCATAACTCATCGTAATAAATTTTTTAGTCGATGATATATCTCTTAATTATTTAAAAAAAAAATGTCCATCGAGTTTGTTGATGAATGACCAACTTTGGTTGACTTTTGTATTATGGATCTTAGTTCTACCTAATTTTTATTTAATAATATTAACATAAAAAAAAATTGGATATTATTATTATTATTTTCTTTTCTTAAATTATGAACTTGACATCTAATATCTCTAATTAAAAATTTTATCAATTTAATGTGTATTTTAGTAATATTTTATTATAATAATAATAATAATAATTTATTTTTCCTTAGTAATGATCCATTATTAAAGAGAGGTGGTGTTCCACCCACACAAGGAAACTAGAAATATTGGTTATTGCAAAGAAAAAGGAAAAAAATTAGAAATTTCATAATTTTGTGAGTAGGCAAGTTAATATATAGATTACTATTTGTGGAAATTTTGAATTATTTAATAATTTTAATAATTACTTCTCAAGAACACGACGAGAAAAATAAAAATAAAAATTGTTAGACGAACACGACCCTCCATAATGGTATGATATTGTCCATTTTGGGCATAAGCTTTTATGGCTTTGATTTCGGTTTCTCCAAAAGGTCTCGTATTAGTATTTTTCACTTATAAATCTATAAGCTCTCATGGCTTTGGTTTGAGTTTCTCCAATTGGCCTCGTACTAATGGAGTTAGTTATTCCTCACTTGTAAATCTAATGTCATTCTCTAAATTAGGGAGGTGAGATTTTCATCCTCGAACAAAAATAAAAAACTCAACTTTAATATTATATTGAATTTCTCATCTTGAAAAAGCTGGTTAACAATAATTCAAGGCACTAATTACTGGTTAGAAACCCAATAAAGAACAGCTTGAACATCATAGCTACAAGCAACCGTGCAGAGAACAAAATTCTTTTTAATAACCAATAAGATAAAAATAAAGTAGGAGGTAGCTTTTGGTGATTTAAGCTCCTTAATCACTCTCTACCCACTAATCTTCTTCAGGGTGGTGACGACAAAACACAGCAAAATCGAAAGAATACGACTGTTTTTCCTTTTTTTTGAATCTAATTAACGCTAATTATACTGATTTTCAAGGTTATTTTTTGGGGGATTTTTCTGTAGTTTCAAATTTTGTGTTAATTTCCTAATTGGGTTGCTTACCCCTTCATCTAATTCACTCCTTTTGCTTAATCTCAGGGCTGGCATTTACGCTGCTCGAACGGCCGAGCTATCATTGGACGGTTACTGTACGAAACCCGAAAATATAATGCGATAATGATATTCTGCGATGGAGAATAGCAGGGAGACAGAGAGAGAGAGAGAGAAGAAATGGGGTGAAGAAGGTGATTGGTTTGTGGGGTTTTTTCTTATGACCCATTTTGTTGCCTTGGTTCTTATGCTTTTCATTTGATCGAAGCGTTTGATTAGAGGAAATCGCTGTTTCGCCTCTTTTGTGGGAGACCCATTTGCTTGAAACTTGATTTTGTGTTCTTTCTGAGCTGTACTGCTTCTTGTATGATTGGGAACAAGCTGCTTTTTCAGCCGTTCTGGTGATTTTTGGTCCCCTGATTACAAAAGGGTTGGTTTCTGCAGCGTATTTGAACTATTGATTTCCTCCTTTTGCACTAATTCTTGTGCGTTGAGTTCATAATCGACTCATATAGATAAGATTTGTTTGAAACAATCAAGTTCTTGTAAATTTGGGGAAGTTTATGTGGTTGGAGATCTGGATTTCATCTGTTTTCCTCATCCTTCTCTTTGAAGCTGCCTTTTATTAAAGGCTAAATGGCCACAATGTGAACAAAGCTTCATTTCATAATGACGTCTGTCTCTTGCTATGCAGGTGAACACAGTGACAAGGAGATGGGAAGGCTCGTGGAGGATTAGCTTGGTTTCTGGCCTGGATCCGTTACCTTGATTGTTGTTTTCTGGAGTTATGGCGACGTTGTTGCATTCGGAATCTCGGCGCTTGTATTCTTGGTGGTGGGATAGCCATATCAGCCCCAAGAACTCAAAATGGCTACAGGAGAATCTTACAGGTTATGCATCTTCCATCTTGACTTAACCTTACTGATGCGAGTTCAGTTCTATTCCCATGTTTAGATGGTGCTTGACCCCCGCATTACTCGAGTCCGTGGGGGCCTTTTCGTTTAGTTTACGAGCTGCATTGTTCTTACATTTGTTCAGCTTCCTTTAGTCTCGAATCTTTTCTTTCACCGTTAATCTCTTGCTGAATTTTTTTAACATCTGAGTTTTGGATGAGTTGGTATTGGAGGCTAGAGTTGAAACTGTCTTTAAAGGAGACCTGTTGTTCACTTGTTTGCAGATATGGATGCCAAAGTAAAAGCAATGATCAAACTCATTGAAGAAGATGCAGACTCCTTTGCAAGAAGAGCAGAAATGTACTACAAGAAACGTCCCGAGCTAATGAAATTAGTCGAGGAATTTTACCGAGCTTACCGTGCTTTAGCCGAAAGATATGACCATGCAACTGCAGAGCTTCGTCATGCACATAAAACCATGGCTCAAGCTTTTGACAACCAAATGCCTCCTTTTATGTTCTCTGATGAGTCAGCTTCAGGGTCTTCAAGTTCTGAAGCCGAAGTCCACACACCAGAAATCCACCTCCCGAATCGTGCACTGCTCGATCGAGATGACTCGCACAAGGATTCGGCATGTTCATCATCAACAAACCAACATCCATTAAGAACAAAAGGAGACAATGAGCTAGAAAATTTAGAGGTTAGTGAAGGAGGAAGCATCAAACCACAACTAGTTTTTTCTGAAGGGGAATTGGATGACCATAGGTTGCAAAACGTATCCTCTCAGTTATCAAGTAAAGCTTATGATCTCGAATCGCATGAGCTGGTTGAGTCGGGAAGTGACGAGAAATTGGACGTCGAACTTCAAAACTTAAGAAAGAGACTCAATCAGATGGAAGCTGAAAAGGAAACTTTCTTTCTTAAATACCAGAATTCTTTGGAAAAGTTATCTAGCTTAGAGAAAGAACTTAGTTCTGCTCAGAAAGATGCCGGTCGACTAGACGAACGAGCGAGCAAAGCCGAAATCGAAATAAAAATATTGAAGGAAGCCCTTATAGATCTGAAAGCAGAGAAGAATGCTGGTCTTCTACAATATAATCAATGTTTGCAAAAGATATCTAGCCTAGAAAAGCGATTATTTGTAGCCCAACAAGATGCTGAAGCACATAATGAGAGAGTTGCCAAGGCAGAAATTGAGGCGCAGAACTTTGAGCAACAGCTTTCCAGATTAGCAGCTGAAAAGGAGGCCAGTCTTCTTCAGTATGAACAATGCCTAAAGAAGATATCTGCTTTGGAGAAGAAAATCTCTCTTTCTGAAGATTATGCAAGAATGCTTGATGAACAAATGAGTAGCTCAGAGACTGAAGTCAAAGCACTTAAGAGAGCTCTTAATGAACTGAATGAAGAGAAGGAAATAGCATCCCGCCAGTATGAGCAGTGCTTGGAGAAGATTGCGAAAATGGAAGCTGTAATATCTTGTGCTCAAGACGACGCAAAACGTCTGAAAGGTGAGCTTATGATGGCTAAAGCAAAACTCGAGACAACCGAAGAAAGGTGTGCTCGTTTTGAGCAATCAAACCATTCACTGCAGTTTGATGCAGACAAACTTGTGCAGAAGATTGCTATTAAGGATCAAGAGCTTGCAGAAAAGCTAGATGAGTTGAAGAAAGTTCAGAGTCTAATGAACGACGAGCAGTCGCGATTCGTACAAGTTGAAAACACTCTCCACACTCTGCAGAATTTGCATTGTCAATCTCAGGAGGAGCAGAGAGCTCTGACTTTGGAGCTAAAAAATGGTCTCATGATGTTGAAGGATTTGGATATATGCAAACATGGTATGGAGGAAGAGCTTCAACGAGTTAAGGACGAAAACAAAATGCTGAATGAACTACATTTTTCTTCTGATACTTCAATGAAGAATTTAGAGGACCAATTATCTAGCTTGAAGGAGATGAAGGACAAACTTGAAGAAGTTGTTGCACAAAAAGAAGATCAGAGCAACTTGCTTGAGAAAGAGATCCTTCATTTGAGAGAAGAAATTAAGGGCTTAAGCGGAAGATACCACGGCATAACGAGACAATTGGAGGCAGTAGGATTGGATCCCGACTCGCTTGAATCGTCAGTGAGGGAATTTCAGGAGGAGAATGCCAAGCTGAGGGGGACATGTGAAAAGGACAGGAACAAGATGGAAGCACTTCATGAGAAGCTCAGTTATATGGATGAACTTTCAAAGGAAAATTCCATTCTCAAGGTATCTCTAGCTGAGCTGAATGCTGAATTGGAGAAAGCCAAGGAATCCCAGGAAGAAAAAAGTGCTGTTGTTGAAGAGAAATCTTCGTTGCTTTCACAGTTGCAGAATGTAACTGAGAATATTTTGAAACTTTTAGAGAGGAACACATTGCTAGAAGACTCCCTATCCGGTGCAAACAAAGAGCTTGAAGGTTTAAGAGCAAAATCAAAGGGCTTAGAAGAATTCTGCCAGTTATTGAAGGATGAGAAGTCAAATCTTCTGAATGAACGAGGGGTGTTGGTGGGTCGACTCGAAAACATCGAACCGAGACTAGGAAATCTCGAAAAGAGGTTTACAAATCTTGAAGAGAAGTATTCTGATCTTGAAAATGACAAAGACTCTGCCTTATATCAAATAGAAGAATTGAGATTTTCCCTTCTCATGGAAGAACAAGAGCATACAACTTACAAACAATCGACCGAGGCGAGACTTGCCGGTTTGGAAGACGATGTCCATGCCCTGCGAGAAGAAAGTAGAGTAGGCAAGGAAGAAATTGAGGAACTACTAGATAATGCTGTAAACGCCCAGGTCGAGATCTATATCTTGCAGAGGTTTGTTGAGGATATGGAAAAGAAAAATATTTCTTTACTCATTGAATGTGAACAATATGAAGAGGCATCCAAGTTATCAGATAAACTTATTGCTGATTTGGAAGGCGAAAATCTCGAGCAACAAGTCGAAGTAGAGTTTATGTACAACGAGATCGATAAACTAAGAGCTGGAATCCGAAAGGTATTAATGGCTCTTCGAATTGATCAAGATTATGTGCAGGGAAATATGAAAGAAGAGAGAATCCTGATAGTGGATATCTTGACCAGAATTGAGGACTTGAAAGCTTCTGTGTTCAAAAACAAGGACAAGAAGCAGCAACTGCTAGTTCAGAACTCAGTTTTATTAACTCTTCTCAAGCAACTGAGTTTAGAGAGTGAAGAACTTCTATTAGAGAAAGATAACATTATGCAGGAGTTAAAGATCATGAAGGGGCAGCTAGCAATGCATGAAAACGACAAGCACGAGCTTCTGAAGTCGAAAAACGAGTTGATGAAGCAAGTTAGCCAGTGGGAGCAACATGAGGTACTGCTGAAGGCCGAGATCGAAACTCTAAATGAGAAGCTAGTAAATCTTCAAGGGACTTGCCTTATGCTGGAAAAGGAAAATCATAATGTTGCTGAAGAAAAGAAATCTTTGCTCAAGAAATTTTTGGACCTTGAAGAAGACAAGAACATTATTCAACAAGAACAGCACGATTTAATCGTTCGGGAAGTGATTGCGTTCAATATCCTATCATCAATTTTTGAAAGCTTCAAAACCGAGAAATTCATGGAAACGGAAAAGCTCGTTCAAGATATTTGTCGTCTCCAAGTGGTGAATTCTGATACAAAGGAAGAAGTTGGAAAGTTAGCAGAGAAATTTCAGGTGAAGGAAGTGGAAAATTTGCATTTAAATGGTTCAGTAGAGAAATTGGCTAAGGAGCTTCATGAAGCAAAGGACATGAACGATCAACTTAGCTATCAAATTTTACTTGGAAGTGATGTTCTGAGGGTGACAGCCCAAGAGCTTTCTGAAACAGAAGAGAAGCTTAAAAATTCACATCTTGAACTGTCTGAAAAGTGCTCAAACCAGGAGAATGAGATTCAAAGCCTTTGTGAACTGAACGGAAACTTAAAATACGAAGTCAATTTATTGCACGACGAGATCGAGAAATGCAAAGTTAAAGAGGAATGTCTGAATTCAGAACTACAGGAGAAAAGAGATGAATTTGAGCTCTGGGAAGCAGAGGCCACGACGTTTTACTTCGATCTTCAAATCTCATTGATCCGGGAGGTCTTATACGAACATACAGTTCATGAACTTGCACAGGCTTGTGAAACTGCTGGGGATGAGAATGCTGCAAAAACTACAGAGATTGAACAACTCAGAGAAAGAGTAGGATCCCTGGAAACTGAAATTGGAGAGATGGAAGCACATATGTCTGCTTATAAGCCTGCCATAGCTTCTCTGAGACATGATGTAGAATCACTCAAGCATATTGTTCTTCCTCAAACTAGGGATATCTGTAAGGGTTCTGTAGGAGAAGAGGTAAAGCTTTTTTCTTATTAAATATATGCTAAAACACCTGCAGCAGTAGTTTAATGCACAAATGTACTATGATTTAGCTCAAAATAGCCAAATTTTGTGCTTGGTATCATTGAACTTCTTCAGTTCCTTTGTTCTTGGATGAGCTGAGCGTGAAGGATAATGTTACTGAATTCTAATAATGATTTATGTTCATATGTTGCCAGGAGGAGGAAACCAAGATTCATGTTCATCACAGTAGCTGTTATGTCCACAAAGATGAGATATTGGATTTGCAGAAGATTGGGGCCGTGATAAAGGCAGTCGAGATGGCTGTGATCGAAGAAAAGGAAAAACTGAACAAAGAAGCTGCTGAAAAACGTGTCAAAAACTCGAAATCGGAAGGGAACTCGGTTCATAAAGCAACGAGTAAGGAAGGAAAAGGTTTGAGGGATGGAATTAGTGATAAAGTAAAGGCAAGAAAGAACAAACCTGAGAATGGAATATTGATGAAAGATATTCCATTGGATCATGTATCAGATAGTGCATTCCAGAGAAGAAGCAAAAGGGAATGTAGTGAGACCAGTGATCAAATGCTGAAGTTGTGGGAAACTGATGAACGAGAATGCGAGCAGAGTTTGATTGATAGCGTGCCACAAAGCCCGTCGGACGGGCAAGTCGAGTGCCCACAGTCAGAAATTGTAGAACATAAAAGTCCAGATTGTTCTTCAGAGCTGCAAGTAGAGAAGGAGTTGAGCGTTGATAGATTGGAGCTATCGCCTAGCATTAGAGAACGAATTCGACGAGGTCGAAAAGGAAAGGTTTTGGAGAGACTTGATTCAGATGTTGTTCAGTTGACAGGTCTTCTAACAAGCGTTCAGGATTTGAAAAAGAGAATGGAGGTGAACACGGTGGATATGGCTAGAAACAATGAATACGACACGGTCGAGAAACATTTAAAAGAAGTCGAGGAAGCGATCTTCCAGCAAGTAAATCTAAATGGTCAACTGAAGCAGAGTTTGGAACGCAGTCCATCGTGTTTCGAGCGAAGGTCATCGGTAGAAAGCGAGGCAACTGGAAACATGCCCCTAAACAAACTAACAGAGCAGGCACAAAGAGGATCAGAGAAGATAGGAAAACTACAGTTTGAAGTACAGAACATTCAGCGTGTTATTATGAAACTCGAATCCGAGAAAACGAGAAAAGGGAAGAACAGATTCTCGAAGAGCAAACCGGGTGTTATTCTGAGAGATTTCATCTACAGAAGCGGAAAATGCAGCAGCGAAAGACGGAAGAAGGCGTGTGCTTGTGGATGTACAAAACCTTCTACTCATGGAGACTGAGTGTTGTAATGCTGAAGAACAGCATAATGTTATAGAGGCAGCAGAGATAGATATTATCCCCTTGCAAGTTGTATGTATAATTGTAGTTGGGTGTTCTGTAGATCATCTCTGGATCTTTTTTTTTTTCTTTTGAAAAAAATGCTCCCCTTTTGATCTTATGATGAACTATAATATAGACAGATTGATGTAGTGATATAACCTCCTTTCTAAAACTTATAATATCTTGAGCTACCTTCATTGATTGATTGATTTTGCAGAATAGGGCCCTGCATTGAGATGCATACATAATTTGCCAAAATCTTGGCTTTGTGAGGCTCAAGTAACCAAATGGCCTGACTTCACCTTAGTTTAACGGGATCCGTTCTACAATTACCCAGTCGATCAATGTATTGTGTAACGAGAAGTCTTTTCATCCCCATCTCTACCCTTTTTCATTTTCCATCCCCACGAAATTCTTCATTTAAGATCTAAAAACATGTAGAGTGAAAAAAACGGTGCAATTTGCTAAATTGATTCAATGAAAGTAATCTTAACTAAGGATTTGGTAGCACAAAATTGCGATCCTCAAAACCAACTCTCTGACTAGATCGAGAAGTGGGTTAAAACTAAGTTTGTGACAAAGCGGGGCAAAACTAAACAAAAACAGATCAAATGAAATTCAACATAACTGAACTTAAGCTCCAACAATTTCGGTTGGCCCCTCATCTGCAGCTTCATCAGCAGGTCTCTCGACCTTCACGCCAACGTCTTCTGAGTAGTCTCCATGAACCTATAAACACAGATCATGGCAGTGATAAGACTCTGAAATAATATTATAATTTCATAGGCTACGGATCAAGTTCAAAACATTAAGAGAGAATGAGAATAAACCATATATATACCTCCATCAACTTTCCAAGGTCGAATTTAGGTGCTTTCAAAATTTTTACTTTCCGGATAAACACATTTTGAAGAGGGTAGATGCTGGATGTTGCCTTTTCAATCTCCTTGCCGATGAACTCTGGAATGAACTTGCGAACCAGTTCCTTCAAATCACAAGAGGTTGCTTGGTTTACCATGATCTCTCTCATCTTACGACGGATCTGACATGTAAAAAGGATGTCGGCATCAATTCAGAGAAAATTTAGTGACAAATGAATTACCATAAGCAAAAGACAAGTTTTACGATAAAAATACTTCACTCCAGTCCTGAACTAACCTGCCTGATCTGGCTGGATTGGGCGTAGCATGTCCTTTTCACTTGGTTTGGCCTTCTCTTAGTGAACCCAATGCAAAACATTCTAAGAGTGTAGTTGTCAGTGGTTTTGACATCAACATGAGCTTCAATCAAAGTGTGCCATTTGCGTACTAAAGACCTTAACTTGTCAGTAGTGAAATTCATTCCCTGAACATTTTCACAAGAAAGAAATAAGATCAAAACGCAATCAACAAAATACCATGTGAATACAACTAAGTGGAATGTCCTATCGCACCCAGAAATTTGTTAGGACATTCCTCCCTTGAACATCTTCTGCTCTCAGTCGAATCTTCCTGTAAGCGTGCTCCTCATCATCCTGAAGATCAGCCAAAGAGACCTCGAAGACTCTGTGTTTGAGTCCTTCAGAAGCAATCTATTGGGAGAAGCCAAGGAAATTTAATATTTACATTATTTGCAAAATTAACTATTGATACAACCATTTGATAAATAGAAGAAAGTGTTTCATAGCCATATTCTATTACTTTTTTATATTAATTATTATGTTCTATAATTGATATTTTCCAATATTCAATATTTATTTGAAACTAAATTAGATTTTATATTCATATGAATTAGGAATAGCTAAGATCCCAGTAATTAAGTAAACTACTACTCGTGACATTTTTGTTATGTGATCACGCTTAACCCAAAGATTAAAGAATCGCTTTTGTAATGCAATGGTCATCGGTTCCATTTTATAGGTCTTAAATCTACATCAGATAACTTCCAAAACTCCAAAGAAGTAAGCCAGGTTACAAACGGCATTCCACAACATCTAGAAAACATAAAATCCAATCTTTTGTTCTAAGAATCCAAATATCTCCATCCAGCATCAATACAAAATTATAAACAAGGAGAAAAAGAAAAATCTTGCATCAATCGAGTTCAACAATGACACCAAAACCCATTTAAAAAACAATGCCTCTAAGACCACACAAACACCATTGAAATTCTCTTACACTATACCCCCTTTTTCCAGATAAAATTCAAATATAAACGTAAAAGCAAGCAGAAAAGGATCGATTTACCTTGGTACCCTGCGTACGCGTAACAAGAGTCTTTCCAACATTCTTAACAGTGAAAACTGAAGGTGCTTTGATATCATACCAATCCTTCTTGGCAAATGGATCGGTGCTGAAGGACGAGCATACAACAGATATATAAAGTACTCCAAAACCAACACTAAGATCTGAAAAACAAAGGAATATAAAAAAAATATATATACTCACGCTTTCTTCTTGCCTCCCTTCTTTCCCTTCGAAATCCGCTTGTTCTTACTGATTGAAAAGAAAACAAGTATGAGAGATAAAAACACAATGCAGCATACAATTGAAACAATCGGAAAGAAAGAAAAGGTACCCGACGGCCATGGGTGGAGGAGGAGAGTTGCCCTAACTCTGCGGATGTTATGCTGCACGGCAGAGAGAGTTTGAGAGGCTCCAGTACCCTAAAATCTGCGTTTATATAGGTCAGGTTTTTGGTCTTTTATATTTTTTATTTTCAATAATTTATCTGTTAATTTTACTTGAAAGGTTAACTCTATCTAACCTAACTAATGAAGAGTTCACAATAATATCACAATTCTAGTATATTTGTAAATAAGTAAGAATATTATATTTAAATAATAGTACTAATTTTTTAATTGGGTCGTCATCAATTACGAGGCCAGAGTCCATGAACTCAAGCTCATCAGACGAGAGTCCACAAAAAAGGAGTCCATGAACTCAAGCCCTCGGGGCAAGAGCCCACCAAACAAGAGTCCATGAACTCAAGCCCAGGGAGGGAGAACCCACCACACAATAGTCCATGAACTCAAGCCCAGGCGGCGAGAGCCCACCAAACAAGACTCCAAGGACTAAAGCCCATGAGGTGAGAGCCCACCAAACGAGAGTCCATCGACTCAAGCCCATGACACGAGAGGCCACCAAACAAGAGTCCATGGACTCAAGCCCATGAGGTGAGAGCCCAACAAACTAGAGTCCATGGACTCAAGCCCATGAGGCGAGAGCACACCAAACAACAATCCATCGACTCAAGCCCATGACGCGAGAGCCCAACAAAGAAGAGTCCATCGAGTCAAGCCCATGAGGCGAGAGCCCACTAAACGATAGTCCATCGAATCAAGCCCATGAGGTGAGAGCCCAACAAACAAGAGTCCATGGACTCAAGCCCAGGAGCGCGAGAGCCCACCAAACGAGAGTCTATCGACTCAAGCCCACCACTGAGAGTCCACGAAACAAGAGTCCATAGACTCAAGCCCATTACCGAGAGTCCACGAAACAGGAGTCCATTAACTCTAGCCCATGGAGCTGAAATTTTTGTTGTCGGCGTTGTTTTTCTTTTTTTACATTCACGAACATAAATTTAATATTACTGATTTTTAGTTCAGTTTAATATTATTGCTATTTTATTTTAAAATTTTCATAAATCAATTAGAAAATAAAAATTGGCCAATATAAAGTAAGCCTTCAAATTACATGCATATGCATCACATCACCAATTAAGCAAATTAGTAATACCAATCATTACTAATACTAGTACTAAAGCGGCGGTGGCGGCCGTCGAGTGCAGCCAAAGACGCCGCAATCAACAGGGTAAGAGTACAGAGCTTTACATTCCTCCGGCGAGCGTTGTAGTGGTCTTTCCGGCAAACAATTTTTTCGGTCATCACTCGCCTGAAGCTTCAGGCACATCGACGGCTCACTGCAGAAGAAATTATACGAGTAAGTGAAGTTCTGCAATGTCGGCAACAAGCAGACACTCGCCGGTATCTCGCCGGATAATTGGTTATGTGCGATATTTAGCTGCTCCAATTTCTTCATTCCAGCCATTGTCTCCGGCAAAGGTCCAACGAGATTGTTGTCACTGACATCGAAAACGGTGAGATTGCTCAGCGACCCAATTTCCGGCGGCAAACACCCAATCAACCCACTATTTGTGATTATAATTTCTTCGAGTGTATTGTTCATATTTGACAAACTCGAGGGGAGGCAGCCATTGATGTTGTTATTAGCAAAAACCAGCACAGAAACAGGGGAATTGCCGATGTTCTCCGGCAGTGAGAATTTGAAATCGTTGTTATTGATGAACAGAGCATCGAGTTTCTTTTCAAACAGGGAAGAAGGGAGATCGCCGTGGAATTTGTTGAATCGAACGTCGAGGAATTTGAGGGAAGGGAGAGAGAGAATTACAGAGGGGAACTCGCCGGAGAAGTCATTGTTGCTGAGATCGAGCTCAAAGAGGAGAGTGAGGAAACGGAAGGAGTTGGGGACGGTGCCGCAGAAGCGATTGGAATTGATGTGGAACAGGGCAAGGTCGGTCAGGAGGCCGAGATCGTCGGGCAGGGTTCCCGAGATGTTGGCGTTGTTGAGGTCAACCCCGGCAACGGTGAGGATGTCGGGGTCGTCGGGAGCAGGGGCACAGAAGACGCCGGAGTAGTTGCAGACGTTGGGGCCGTACCAGTCGGCAGTGAAGTTGGTCGGGTCGTCGGTGATGGCATGTTTCCATGCTTGGAGAGCTGTGTAGGCCTTGATGAGTCTCTGGTTGGGGAGAAATGGGGATGGCGGCGGAGATGCTTGAAGGGAAGGTTTGGGGAGGATGAGAATAGAGAGGAGGAGGAGGAGGAGGGAGTTTGAGGTTTTCATTTTGGAGGAGGAGGTTAATGGAGCATGGTTGTTACAAAAATTATAAAATTGGGTTTTTATATATAGAGACATTATATCTCATGTAATTGAGTTAACTTAATTTAATATTAGTATAGTTGGTATCAGGTTAAAAGCAAGACATTCGCCAATGACGACATTGCAACTCGAGACTATGATACATGCATAGAGTAGTCGTATTTATTTTCTTAAACTTAAGTTATATTTTTAATTTAAACATTTATTTATTTTGTTTTGTTTTTTGTTGTGTTATTTCCAGAGGTGTTTTAAAAACATGTGAGTGTGTTTTAAGATGGAAGTGACTTTTTATGAAAGTT